ATTTCATTGATAGCATTTTTGCTACCATCAGATAAATCTTTACAGGCAATCAAAAATGAGTTAGGGGAAGCCCTGTTCCGAGGTGGAGGGCGCTTCGGCTTCTTTGAAGGAACTCCCTCATGGCCATCACCATATCCTTTGCGCTTCCTTGGCATCGTGCCCCTGCCAAGTACAAAGAAACAAAACAATTAAGAACTGACAATTAAAGAGTTGCGAAAGGTGAATTGAAAGACACAAAAACCAACAACTCAACAAAACCACTAGTAATTTGTATGCATGAGACTGGTAATCAGAACTTATCAACCATGATAACTTTCTTAGTTGACAATCTAATTTCCGGGCATTTGGATTTTGTGATCTACCTTTAATGATAGCGATTAATGACTTTTTGATCGCATGCCTAATTTTCTGTGGTCGTGATTAATGACTTTGCAATCATGCGTCGTGGAATTGATGACACTTTAATGGGATCCGATTTTATAGGGGATTTTTTGTGTGGTGCGCAACCTCTTATAATTATGCAAAATTTATTGTTGTAGCAGGGAATCGAACCCACGACCTCATATGTTAATCCCATGACAACAACCAACTAGGCTAATTTGTTGGTTTGTCACAAGGTACACACTACTTATACCTTCTTATTACGAGTTTTAAAAAGAATTGAACCAACATTATCATCGGTTCCAGTTACTTGAATTTGTGCATCCAAGTTCCATCATTTTATTGCACGTTCCATACTGCTTCACATAGATCAAAAAGTTTTTTTAAAACATCTCCCAGTAACTTTCGTGTAAATAGCATGGTAGTTTATACACCGTAGACCTGATTACTGCGTACAAACACAACTGTAACTTTGACCCGAAGAAATAGTTGTTGATACATACTCCGATAACTTTTGTAAAAATAATATGATAATATATGCACCGAATAACTGATAACTTAGGTACAAACACTGCAATAATTTCAAACTAAGGGAAAAAATTATTGAAAACTTACCCCGTCCACTTCTGTGTAAATAATGATAATACACACACTACGGGCATGATAACTTACGTACAAACATCATGGTAACTTTGAACCGAAGAAAATAGTTGTTGAAACCATACCCCTGCTAACTTATGTGGAAATAGTATGATAACACATACAACATAGACCTGATAACTCAGATACAAACATCGTGGTAACTGTTATCGGGGAATTTTTTTATTGAAAGCATACTCACGTTAACTTACATGTAAATAGCATGGTAATATGGTAATATACAAATCGCATTCCTGACTTAGACACAAACTCCATGATAACTTTTGACTGGGGAATTTTTTTTGAAATGTACCCACGGTAATTTTTTTATAAATAGATGGTAACATACACACAATAGAGCTGATAACTCACGCACAAACACCATGGTAACTTTGACCATCAGGGGTTGTTTAAAAACATTCCCCTGATAACTTCCGTGTAAGTAGCATAATACTATATGCACCATATACGTGATAAGTCACGCACAAACACCACCGTAACTTTGATGGAGGTTGGGTCAAGGGATGAAGTTGTTCGAAAACATAACCCCTCCCGGTAACTTTCATATAAGTAGAACGGTAA